ACACACACACACACACACACACACACACACACACACACACACACACAGCTTAGCAGATCCCCTCACACAGTGTAATGTGCATTGCTAATGAGAAAACAGTGCTGCGTGGTGCAGACTAATGACCCATTAACAACATGCAGTTGGCTGACACCTCTGACAGGTGGCTGCCACGCTGACTTTGTTTACTACTACAGCCGCTCACCAAATGTCAGACATTAGGAGCATCGACCTCACACCGGCGGCCATATTCATCTTGCTGTTATTTAACACATAAACAAAAGATTCTCCTGGATAGTTTAACAACCATATAGGTTTATGCTATGACCTCCGGTTTTAAATCATTTTAACTTTGTTTCGTTTTTCCACAGCAGGCGGGTCTAAACACTACACTACCCATGAGCCTTGGCAAGTATAAGGCATGGAGAACGGGCCGGTAGAATTAAAAACGCTTTGTCGTTATAGTTGAGAATAAACCACTGCGCATAGCTGCTGAATTCACCCACAATTGAACAAAATTATAAAAGTGAACCGATTTAAGCTGCAGATGTGAACAACACTCAATAGTTAATATCACTTAAAAAACATGGGAAATTATGAATATTTTTAGATCAATAAATACATAAAGAACTCACCTCCAACTGAATGTCCAGCTCAGCCACAGGACTTGTCAGAGCACTGAGGTTGGGCAGGACGTGTTCACAGAAGTAAGTTACAAAACGTGTGGAATGGACATTTTTCTACAAGACAAGAGAAAACTATGATTAATTCACACTTTAATTACAGTAAACCTACCATAAAAAACACCGATGCTTAGATGAATACATGTAAAAACAGACAATATGCACTGTGTGCAGCAACGACTGGTCGATTAATTGATTATTCAATCAACAGAAAATGAATGATCAGTTATTTTGATTATTCATGCACTGGTTGTACTCACAGAGAAGAGGGGCAGGGCTTGACGTGTGCACTGCAGCAGGCGGTCAACAGTGTCCGGGTCAGCCGGGTTGAGGGCCTGCTCCAGGAAAGCCTGCTCCACCACCAGCTCCACCAGCTGCTGCCGCCCGTTCACCGTCTGCAGCACCCGCAGGCCCGACACCACACGCATCAACAGCACAAACTCCTCTCCAGTCACATCCTCCAGAACCTACGGAGGAGACATGAAACCCGTAATCAACGCGTGCTCTTGTCGGTCATTGTTCGAACTACAACATTATTAAAATGGTAACTAACCCCATGGCCTTTAAGTCAGTCAATCATAATAATCATTTTAAAACACACACACACACACACACACACACACACACACACACACACACACA